TTCAATCCTGCCACAGCTGAAGACTTTCCAACGCTGATTGTAACAAATTTAAACGTTACATGCGAGCAGATTTCAACGCGATCATCGATTGCTCGTGCACCCGCACACACAGACACAAACACACACACATACAGAGCAACAGTTGCTGCGACTGCATTGCTTGCAGCATGACGCAACTGCAGCTCCTTGCCCTCAGGTGTTGCGCGAACGGTTTTCATCTGGCAGCTTTTCACTTTCCGCCTCGGCCAATTGGCCAAGCGTCCAAAACAGTCAATAGTCAACATGCAACATGCAACATTCAACGGGCAACAGTCAATGCCGCTTGTCGAACACCGCTACACCAAAGCGTCGAACAAAGTTAGTCATTTAGTGACTTTGCCTGAGATTTTTTGAGATTGCCAAAAAATAAGAAAAATCGAAATCGGAATAGAAATAAAAGAAAAAAAAAAAAAAAATAACTGCAACTGTCATTTTCGATTGGCGACCTGCTGGGCTTGCCCCACGTTGCACAAACATTTTTGCCTTGTCTGTCTGCCTTGTCGAGAGCCAAAATGTCAATTTGCGTTGTTTACTTTGAAAAACTTTAATTTTTCTCTGCCGATTTTTATTCGCCGTTGTCTGGTGGCCTCTCTTGAGTTGCATTCGTCGCGCCTTCAATTGCCGCAATTTACCACGCCTCACCCCGCACCGCACCGCTGGCACCATTGGCATTAGCCGCGCCATTGAGTGTTAATTAAGCGTTTATTCAACATTCGGTGTCAAAGTTGTCTTTAAAGAGCCCCAAATTAATGCCATTTGCAACTGCCGCACAGCTGCCATTGTTATCAAAACAGAATGGAAAACGTTGGTTCGTTACCGATTTCCATTTCCGATTACGTTTACGTTTTCATTTTCATTTTCATTTTCGATTCGATTTCGATATCGAATTTCGGCAACGTCGACGTCAAAGATCAAGACAAGACTTCATCGATCATCGTTCACAATTCGCATGCTTTGATATGGATATGAATATATTGACTGATTGACTGATTGACTGATTGACATGTAACAAATACATGCATGAGCGTGCATATATACACACATATAATATATATACATATTTATGTATCTACTCTCACATTCAATCTCTATGCGCACTTTTAATTGACTTTTAATGAGCGTCCAGCGTGATATGCGGCCTGATGCCTAATGACAGAGAAATTTTCAAAATAACCAAAATTTACATATTCGCTCATAATATGACAGATTCGCGTCTAATTTGCATATTATTTATAATTTATGCCAACATTTTTAGCGAAAATAATTGACTGGCAATCATAGTATCCTGTCAATTTATTGATATCCGGCTAATTATAAAGTGACCAGATTAGATTATGCTAAAAATTAGCATTTGATAAAAATTGTTTTATTTATTATGTTAAATGCAATTTTTTTTTTTTTAATTATTATTGGTTTCTATATAAGCTTNTAAATTTGGTAACATTATATTTAATTTGTTAAATATTTTAGTTTATTTTCTTTAAGCTCTTAACTGGCTAAAAAGCAAGCCAACATTTAGCCCAGCTTAAGCTTCCATTTATATTTGATTTTATAATCAAATTTTAAGCTGCCTCCCAGCTTAAGCTCTATTCTGATTCACTTTAAGCTAATGCTTAACTAGTTTCCATTTCATTCTTAAGCTGCGAGCCCGAGCCAAAGTCAACATTCAAGTCTATGGCTAGGCAATGCGTGTCTTAACTTAACAGAAAATCTAGACAAATTTTCTACACTTTTCCTTCCAATTTTCATGACGACAAATTTGTGGTGACTTCTGGTTGCGGCTGGGAGGAAATGTGTAGGAAATGCAACGGTAAATGCATATTATCAGCAAGCCTGACTGCGTGTTGAAACTAAGCCAAGCTAACGGACGCGACAGACTGATAAGCATCACAAGCAAGGGGCACAATAGCACACAGAAGTAGCAACTGCCCCACCAAACCAAACGACCCGCCACCCACCGCCCATCGCCTCTCGGTGCAGCACACAATGTGCCAGTTAGGCACTCAACTGAACGTGCGCGTGTGTGACTCTGTGTGTGTGTGTGTGTCTGTGTGTGCGTCAAGCTGCAAGCTGCAACACTTTCAAACAACTTTATCACGACTAAATCTCAACGGTGACTGACTGACTGACTGACTGACTGTCTGGCTGGCTGGCATGGACTTGATTGAAATGCGACGAGCGCGTTGACATGCCGAGTGGGTGGCAGCTGCAACGTGCAGCGTGCAACGTGCAACGTAGAGCGTGCATGGTGCATGGTGTACGGTGCGTATGTATTAATTAGTGTCAAGTGTTGTCGCTTTGAGTTACGCGCCCGGGGGATTGCCATTGCCGGCGTCATCATCCTTGCTGCTGCGATAACACAAAGCGATTGCAACTGCAGCGGCAGCAACTTGTTTGTCCAAGCAAATGCTGCCGCTGCTGTTACTGTTGCAGTTACTGCTGCTGCTGCTGCTGATGCTGCTGCTGCTGCTGCTGCTGCTGCTGCCCGCAGCTAGAAGCTGCCTGCTTCGGCTCTGCGTAATCGATGATGACACGTTTTGCCTTTGCCCATGCGCAAAGCAATGCAACAGCAACTGCTGCCGCTTAGATGTTGCCAGTCGCCAGTTGCTGGCGTTGCAAATTGCTGGGCAACTGCACGGCAAATGACAGGCAAAAGCTGACAGAGACTCGCTCTTAAATTTATAAACACACTCGACCGGGTATATACATACCTCAGCCACTATTGCTGCGCATCCAATTACATTTATATGCTCGTAAACTAAAAATTCTGCACAGCTTGCGGTCGACTGCTGTAATTATCAGGCAGAAAGAGAAACACTCGCTGGAGAGAGGAGGAGCAGACTGACTTGGGCAACTCCTCTAGACTTATAAATATGCACACGTGTGTGTTAGCTGCAGAAATCGCACTTTAAATAGATTTTCTACGTTCATTGATTTACAGCCAAACGATTTCCTGTGAGTCATAAAACTACATATATCGAAATTAACATTAACACTGTGAGCTGCAAAATGTTAAAGATATTAAGCAGCTTTAACTATGCAAGGCAGCGAAATACTCGGAGATTTCTATGAGCTTTAGCTWGAATCTTAGTWCTAACTAAACAAATTCTCAGATCATATATCAACTTCAGGCGAATAGCAACCTCAGCTTCCTAGCATTTAGTGTCTAACCATCAATCAATCAATCAGTCAGTCGGCAGCAAAATCTTTTATATGCAGCAACTACTTTAAATGTAAAGTCAGCAAAACGCAAATAAAAAACTTGGCTATAAAAAAAATCAGATTCAGGGTCTATAAATTTGATCTAAACAAATATACAAAGCATAAATAAGCAGCAAGAAAACAAATAACAATTTGAATAAAATATCTATTAATTACGATTGTGACCAAATTTGAGAAACTTTTGCCGCCTGACCGGGCAACTGCGAGAATTCTCGAGTTAATTATTGAATGCTCTGCGCTGAAACATTAATTATACGCACTTTGTCACGTGTTAAGATTTATGATTTACAAGATAGTTGATAGTTGTTCTTACTCAATCACAATGGAATGTGGAATGTTTAATAGAGCTGTGATTTATTCTCAAATATTATTCTGGGTTTTTCATTACAATTTCAATATTAAAATAGGTTTCTTTGGAATGGATTATGATTTGTGTGCAGAGTATTTATTATGTATATAGGCTCTGCAGCCAGTTTAACAACATTTGATTATCAACGTTTGCCTAACAGTTATTGGSTTTCCTCTAACGAAGCCTCCTACACTTTCCAATGAACGTAATTTGCTGGAGCACACATATGAATGTATATATATATATAGAGAGAGAGAGGAGATCTGCAAACGACGCGCCTTGGCAAGCCTAATGGAAATTGCATTGCATTGATTGGTTTTCTACATGGAAAAGCAAAGCAAGGCAAAAAAAACAATATTATATTATATTGCTGTGGTGTGAACATTGTTTGGGGCCTGCAGCAACGCTGTGTGGCTGTGTTACTTATGTGGCACCTCCCAATAACAATATACGTCTCGTATGAGCGGACAAAGATATTGCAGTTTTATGGTTTTTTGTTGTTGTTTTTTTTTTTTTTTTTCATTTTATGTATCTGCTTCTTGTAGTTCACGAGCTGTGGTTCGGTGGTTCAGTGGCTGGTGGCTGGTGGCTGCTGCCAAGGCTGGCTTTAACAGATATATACATATAGATAGTGGCAATTAAAATGCCGCTACTAATACGATATCTTAGCATGAAATTAAAACATATTTCTGTTTTTCAATCTTTCATTAGTGCTGAGATTTCTCTTACAGCCACCATTGAGGGTTAATAATCAATTACGTGTTGTCATTGACCTTCAATCAGAGCCAACAGATCTAGTGGCCGCCGCCGCCGCCGCCGCTGCCACGCCCAGGCCTAATAGCCATGGCAATTACCTTATTATAAAGCCGCTTAGCTTTTATTTTTCAACTATTTATATGAAGTTTTAATTTGATATTTCAACATTGTTGTCAATCATAGCCACCGTCTGTGCTTTTCTCTCACTCGATGTCTCTAATAAGACATCGAGCTGCCGTTTTGGCCGGCCTTTTTTGTATGGCCTTAACTACTTCATTTTGGGGCTCGGCCCTTCTTTTGCGCTCATGTTGGAGCTGCGTATTTAATTTTGTATCGTTACCTTGTTTTCCTCTTCGTCTACAGGTTTGCGGCTGCCGTTTGACATGTTGTGGCTGATGATGTTTTTGTTGATGGCTTTTCGAACTCACACACACACACATAATTCACATCATTTGGACAACCAGCAGCCCAGCCCACGCACTTGTCATAAAAGATTCATTTATGATTTTATCTGAATTTTTATTATTATAACTGTCTTGTTTTTCGCTTTTGTTGTTGTAGTTGTTAGTTTTTGGTCAAGCTATAAGCTGCTTTCAGCTTGACTCTTTACATATTTAATTGACTTTTTACATACCTCATAAATGCATGAACGAACTCTGAAATGACAAAAACGAAAATGATTTTATAATCAATTTAACAACAGCAATTTTCTTCTGATAACAAATCAATTTGATTGCATTCCAAAACTCATTCAAACTTTTATGAACTATGAAATTTATATTGTTTTCCCCCCATCTGAACGCAACTGTACCCACAGCATTTTTTGGAGTATTTACACAGCCATCGAGTACTTGGCAAAGTGTTGCCGACTTCGGGGCGTTCAAGCAACAACTTCAACACATTCTAATGAACATATACAAATATGTATCTATATATGTATGTATGTATATGTAAGTACAAATTTTTTGAAGTGCATGTCGCGACGATGACGCGACGCTTCTGCCAGCCCGCCACGCCTCCTGCTGCTGCCCCGCGTCGAGGGAATGTCTTGCATTGCAATTGGATTCAGTGCTGAAGCTCTGGACCTTCTGTGGCTGTCTGTCTAGCCAGCAAAAGATTGCGTTAAATGCAGCCATTGTTGTTGTTGTTATTGTTTTTGCTTTTGGGGGCCTGCTAGTCTCCGAGGCGCAAGACAATTGAGTCTGAGAGCGTAATTTGCAACTGCCTGAGACACGTAACGTCCGCTGACGTCGGCAATGACGAGCATCCCGCTCAGGATGCAGGCCCAAATCCGACTGGCTGGCAGGCTGAAGTGCAAGCAGAAGCCAAGTGCAGCAGCAGCAGCGCCTAATGACCGGAGCAGGAGGCAGCTGCAGGGCAGGAGGCAAGAGATTTGTCGTCGGGACAGCAGCCAGTCATGTAGACTACGCCTACTACCCCAAGCTCTAAGCTTCGTCAACTCCTTCTGGCTGCCAGCAACTGCGACATGTTTGCTGTTGTTGTTGTTGGTGTTTTTTTATTTTTTTTTGCCTAGATGCATTTTGCATCCAAAGCGCTGCTGCTGCTGCAGGCGAATGCACCAAAAAAAAAGTAAACAAAAAACAAAAAATAAAACATGCAACGACAACAACATGACGAAAAGTGTGTGCACAGTAGCCTGAGCTGGAGCTGGAGCTGGAGCTGAAGCTGTAGACGAAGCTGAAGCAGGAGTCGGCGCAGACATCGTCCTGTGGCATATCCAACAGGCGTTAATAATAATTCTTTTTTTTTTTTTTCTTGTGCAAAAATGCAACGAGTTTTTTTTTCTACTTTTTTATGTGTTTGCTAAGAGGGTGCTGCAGCGCGAATACCCTGTAAAGAGTTAGTTAGCTAGACTATGAGCAGCTAGAAAAAGGTTTTATATAGAAATCTATGATTTTTACAGAGTAAACGCTTAAAGCTGAATGGTTCGCTCTTTTACTCCTCTGTTAGATGCAGTTCTATTTTATTTACTAAACATTAGCCTAGAGCATGTTTAAGTCGCTCACTTTTCAGCCTAAATGCTGCTGCAGTTCATTTTTTTTTCGAGCTTTTCCTTTTGGGCTTTGGTTTTCAGCATTTATTTCGAAACTTTTTCATTTTGTGCAGTCAGACGACGTCGCCATAGAGAGTGCATTGACTGAAGTCTGTAAAACCAACAAAAAACAACGCAAAAAAAAACAAAAAAAAGAGTCGAAAACAACAACAACAACAACAGCAAGAACAAGAGCCATAGCGGTAGCCTGAGCCTAGGCAACTGCATCCTTTGTTGATATGTAGCGACATGCATTTGCTCCGCAAGGAGAGGAGAAGAGAGGTGAGGCGCGGCGACTCCTCGTCTGGCTGCCAACGCTTGCTGGGGTGAGCGGAGCCAGCGGAGTTCAGTAGCTGGCAGCTTTTGTGTGTCTTATGGGGAAACACTTTAGACATGGCCTGGCAAAGTTTGCCATAATTAACGCTTAGCTTTCGGCCTGGCGCAGTTAAGTGTTATTAGTTTGTGTGTTCCTTATTTCGGCAGGAAGCGCATGCGAAGTCGTTGCACTTGGCTACAGGCCACCCACCCACACTCACACACACACACACACACGCACGCACTTCACTCCGCACTGAGCCATGCGAAACGTAGCCTGCAACTCAAACAGTTGTTCTGACAGTCTGACGACTGCCACTGCCACTGCCCCTGCCCCTGCCCCTGCCACAGTCGTTGCCCCTGCTGCTTGGCAGTGGCAGCGGCCGTCGTGCCACCTGCCCGAAATGAAATTCGTTTAAGCGACGTAAATCATTAAAATGGCAGCCGAAAGCCGCCAACGAAATGGCCAAAAGAAAACATTTGCAAAATTTCAGCACCACTGAAGCCTGAAACAAAGGAATAATTCGAAAAAAGAAAAAAAAGAACAAGTGAAATGCGGGCGCACAAAATAAAATACAATTTAATAGCGGCACTTCCTTGTTTTTTTTTCGTTTTTTTTTTTTTTTTTTTTTTGATTTGATGATTTAATCAAATGATTTTATTTTTTATTTTTTTTTTTTTTTTTTTTTACTTTGACAGGAAACTTGCTGTGGATTATTTATTTATTTTATTTGTTTGTTCTGCCTGTCGCACTCCACACTCTCCATCTCTCTCTGTGGTGCAGCAGTTATTAGTGCGCATTTGCACGCGAATTTGTTTTAGTTTTTTCTTGTTTTGTTCGAAGCTTTTGCCAAAATCCAATTAGCTGCTCAAAAGTTTCGCTGAAAATTAATTAATGTTGACACAAGTTTTGGCCATGAATTGAATCTAATTGAGAGATGCGAACGGCAATGGAGGAGCAAAAGGAAGCAGAGGCAGCAGAACGCTAAGACATAAAGTGAATTTGGAAGTTGCTCATAAAACTTAACAGCTCGAATGCGTTATGCCTTATGCTGAAATGCGCATCGCTCTTCTTTGCGATTCTCAAGAGCATTTAAATGAGCTCCCTTTGCACTACACTAAACCAATTACCTTTGGTCGTTTCTCACGGTGACCCTTGCCCTCTCTCTCTCACTCTCTGTCTTCTTCCTGTTCCCATCGCTTCTAGAGCAAAGCAAAGCGTCTTTTTCTCACCCTCACTTACGTCTTACGCTATGTCGCCCTTAGCCTTTAGCATTTGCTGCAAGTTTCCTTTCTATATATTTCAAATTTTCTCAAGTTGTTTTTCAATTAAGCAAAATTCACTTGCTCGAAACATAATAAACCTTTGCCCCACCTTTCACATATTGGCCACAGCCATCTGCCTTCTGCCACCTGCCACATTTTACCGTAGCCACATATAGCCGAACGATCCACCAGTGCCACACTCTCGGCAGTCAATAACTCAACATAAGCCGCAACATTGCCAACATTTGCAACATTTCAAACGTCAGGGCAAACAGAAACGGAGCATTTGCAGAGAGCCAGAACGAGAGAACCAGGCGGCATTTCAATTGGACTTGCTTTCCCATTGCCCAATCCCCATTCCCCATCCCCCATTCTCCATAGAGGCCGCTGACGGGGCCAGGCCACCAAAATGGTAGTCGATGGTGCAGCTTTTTCAAGCGTTAAAACATAAAAATGTCATTAACACTCAACAGATTTCTGGTGCGCAGCGCCAATGGCCAGCACCAGCACCAACAACACCAACAGCAACAGCAACAACAAACGGCTTAAATGGCCAATAACAAATTGTTGCAAATGCTCGCTGCAACAACAACAACAACAACAGCAACAAAAGTTGGCAACAAGCCACAAAGAACGCAGCCGCAATGGGAATAGTTTTAGATATACTTGCTGTTGTTGTTGCTGTTGTGTTCGTTACTGTTGTTGCTGTTGCTGTTGTTGCTGTTGCTGTTGCTGTTGTTGTTGTTGTTTTCCATTTCGCTGTTGTTTCAACGTAGACGAAAATTTATTTGACGCTTGACTCGACTTGCAGACAAGAAAATGACACAGAAACCGAGTTAAGTTCGCAACGCGTTTAGTTGAATTGCGAGCTCAAACTGCCTGCCCCAGGCCATGGAGCCGCAGACCCCCAAATAGACCCCGAGTAGAGTTCCCCCCGCTACGCGGCACTCGGTGCCCCCGCACTAGATCGTTTATTGTCGCGCTAGGTATCATTTACGCCATAATTTTTCACAGTTGAATATTCTGCTTAATGGTTTTTAATGAGCGGTTCGGCAGCATAAAAAAGGCCAAACGAGAAAAAAAAAATACAAAGGTGTTGAGAAATATGCCTGATTTATAGAAACTGCAGCCTGTATTTAACGCCCAGAGCCGCGCTCGATCTGCTGCCCCAGCCCCACCGATCATAGCCGCCCCGCCGTTGTTAATAGTTTCTTTTTTTTTTTAGGCAGTTCGCAACTGGGACGGCTCAATGGCTCGAGCGACTGGGCGAGAAAGTGAACTGAAGTATTTGATTCTAAAGTGCGGCGATCATTTTCACTCTATGCCAATTTCCAGGCAAAATAATAACACTTATCTGCTAAGAAATATTTTGTTTTATGGCTAAACTAGTTAAGCTTGACTTACAGATATTTAAAGATTGTATTTTAAATATGCCGTCAAGTTTTATCGTTGAAGCTCTACGGCTTTATAGAGAGAGAGTGGAACAAGAGTGAGATTGACTGCATTGATGATGCTCGTTCAGGCTGTCATCGCTAACTAGATAATAGAGTTCATTATGGTGTTCATGGTGAAACTCTAACTAGGCAAATCTTCAACTATTATAAATTGTTGCCTTATATGATATAAGTGTAGTAGGACTGCGCATATGATGTATTACTTGCAAATATATAATTAAAATTGCTCGATATTACCAAGAGCTATATCTTCTTCTTCTTCTATATCATAATAATGCAATTTCTTATTTATATATCACATAATAAATAAACAAAGCACACTCACACACACTATTCCTCCTATTTATATATTACATATACTTTCATAAATTATTCTACAATATCAAATTACTCATGTCTCTAACTCAAATCCCTCCTAATCCTGCTTGCCTCGTCGTTTATAAACTCGCTTCCATAATTTATGACATTGCTTAATAAGTTCCTAACTCATACACCTTATAGCTGCCACACACACTCTCTGCCTGTTCGGCTGGGGCACGCCCACATTCTCTCACCTCTGCCCAGCCCA